TTGTTGTTGTTGTTGTTGTTATAGGACCCATGTGCTTTCCAGAAAGACAGAAAGCGAGAAATCACCCCCCGGGGGGGATGACCACACTGCAGTTCATTCTCCTCTCAGGATCTTGGACACACATACACATGTGCCTGGTGTGAGTTGAAGCCACCGGGTCTGGGACTCGAATTGCGGTCGACTACGTGGGAGTCCAGCGACATAGCCATTATGCTAACTGCTGATTCCCTGTGTATACTTCTTTAAAGAGAGATTTTTGCTATAAGGCACATACCTCGGAGACAGAGAGACACAGAGACAAAAAGTGAGAAATGACCATCCCCAAGGGAGATGGCCACATTACGGTCCCTTCTCCAATCTCCTCTGAGGTTTTGGGCATGCGTACACGTGCACCCAATGTGATTTTTAAGCCACCGGATCCAGGACTTGAACCACGGTCGACTGTGTAGGAGTCTAGCAATGTAACCACTATGCTATCTGCTGATCCCTTTAAGTATATTTTTTTTAAAAAAGAAGATAAATCGATACTAAAATACCCACAAAACAGAACTTAATACATGTAGTAGCCGGAGTTTGGACAAAGTGCTCTGAGAATATAGCAAAGGGAAGAGATTCATTCTGCTTGGAGCACTCGAAACAGCATTGTGCTGGTGAAGACGTATTCAGCTGCGCTTTGAAGGATGGGCACCTGCAGGCTAACTGTTGGACACCCTTTAAGAGTACAGTGTTGCACGGGCAGGACCATAATTACTGTAACTGTTGTTTCTTCTGTGCCTTTGGTACGCAGAATATGTCTGCATGAATGGATGGATGGAAGGAAGAAAGCATGGGTGAATGAACAAACAGATCAATGAATAAATTAAGCGAAGGCCACATTCTTGATAAGGGGAATATCTTAAGCAGTAAAAGAATGGCAGGGAGAAATTAGGCATATTGGCGAAATTATAACTGGCTTGGCTTAAGTGTGTAGTGCTTGAGAGAGAGAAAGAGAGAGAGAGAGAGAGACCAGAGAAAGGACTGGAAGTAAGCTAGATGATGAAGGCTCAAGAATTTTGGCTTTTCTTCTGGATAGTGGACACTAAACAGCAATGACAGTCTCGGATAGGTCTTGGCAGTAACCACCCATAATTCTGAGATTTTTTTTTTTTTTTTGGAGGGGTTTTTGCTATAGAGTGCATGCGCTTGCCAGACAGACAGGGACAGAGAGACAGAAAGTGAGAAATCACCCCCCAGGGGGAATGGCCACGCCGCAATCCCTTCTCCTCTGTTCTCCTCTCGGGATCTTGGGCACGCACGCACATGCGCCTGATGTGAGCTTTAAGCCACCGGGTCCGGGACGCGAACCGTGGTCGACTACATGGGAGCCCAGTGACATAGCCATTACGCCAACTGCTGGTCCTGCATAATTCTGAGTTTCAAGAATAGAATTGGAGTTGGAAAAAGACCCCTTGTTATGGCCTCGTCTCATCACTCATCCACTAGGTGCAGGAGCCAGAGACACCTGCGGTGGGTTGCACAGGGAGGTAGCTAGCTGCAGCGAGGCTGCCGGTGGCCTGGGCTCTTACGTCTTGGTCTTCTCTCCAGATGTGTGCAACAGCACCGATCTTCCGGAAGTCGAGATCATCAGCCTGCTGGAGGAGCAGCTGCCCCATTATAAGCTAAGAGCCGACACCATCTACGGTTATGACCACGACGACTGGCTCCACACACCCCTCATTTCTCCAGATGCCAACATCGACCTCACTACCGAGCAAATCGAAGAGACGCTGAAATACTTCCGTAAGTAGCTGCCCTCTGATGCTGTGACCGCAGGGTGATGACCAGTCCACGAGAGACCGTGTACTGCTTGCTGTGTCTGTGGAAAGCGGGTCAGAGAAATGTGGTTGTAGAGGTAGACCACATGAAAGGGCTCAACTTGAAAGGTTCTGAAGAGAAATTTGAGTGTGGTGGGACTAAGGAGGATTTTGTGGAACTTTCTTTCTCTTTTATTTGTTTATTAGTTCTTTTTATTTGATTATTTCTTTGTTACTTCCTTTGAAAAATTTTTATTTTATGGTTTCTTACATATGTTTCATTGCTGTTCATCTTTGTGGGGTATAATGGATTTTCAAAGCATACATGGAGCATGCACTAGCCAGACAGATTAACTTGAAAATGTTCCCATTTGCCTTTCTTATCAAAAGTACTGGTGCCACATGAGTCTTTAGAAACTCTTAGGAGAAGAAGTTTCTCTGCATTTAAAACCAAAGAGGTTGGGACCATCTGGGTGGCTCATGTGTGTGATCTAGCAAGGTCTGTCTACAAAGGCTGCTGCCTCTCTTGGTAAAACTCACTAAGCTGGTTATTGTTACTGAAGCTGCAGTCCAGTCATGCGGATGGACTGCAGAGCTGATACCTGGTAGGGTGAGCAGTACACTAGGCTCGTCCTTGCCCTTTTGCGTGTGTTCGCAATGACAAGGGCATGAAACTTGACGGTGCGGACTTGAGAAAAGGGTGGTGAAAAAATTAATACTGGCTGCTGATGTTTATTTAAGAGATGCCTTTTTAGAAGCAGTTTTCCTCTTTTGAAATTCATTGCAGCCCTGTCATTTCCATGTCTCTGTATAATGCTTTCACTCTTAAAAGAAAATGGACAGCAGTCCTGCTTCTCCATGTGCGTAACTTGATTCGAAACCAGATTCTAATCATCTCTGAAAGTTTTCTGTAATTGCTTCCACTGCTACAGACTGTCATCCCCAATTTTCTTGAGTTTGTGAGATCATTTAGAATAAACCAGCTGAATCAACAGTTTCTCCTTTAGGGTCCATCTGGGGTTGTTTTCAGGTTTTCTCTGTTAGGTATTTATGAAAAAGGAATTTGTTTATGTTGACTTATATTTTTATTACCTTATGTAAACCCTATAGTTCTTTGTGAACAATGAAGATAACCAGTTTCAGCCGGAATAGAAATAGAATTATACA